GGACGACGTCACACTGAAGTTTGTTTCCACAATCAAACGATAGGTTACTGCAAAACTACGTGATTAGAACATTTTAAGGCAGCACATCCTGAGGACGAAGATATAGTTTGTTTCGAGATTATCAAATAAATAGCTACGAAAAAAAAATGGATCACGAGTTGAATAACAACAATGAAAATGTGTGAATGCCAAGGAGGTGGAGTGCAGCAAGTTGTGCTTGAGTGCAAACTAAAGTAGCCCTCACCTGCTGGCTCTCAAAGGTCCAGGTGCTGTCAGGCAAAGAAGCATCCAGGACGCTGATGACCTCCTTAAAGTCAGTGGTGCTACTGGGCTTGACCAACGTGAAATCACTGTACTCCGACATGGGAGACATGCACGACCGGAAGGAGTGACTCTGAGACATGACGTCTCCTCCCAGAACCTCCACGTACTTGATGGGTCCATCGGTGTTGAGCTGAATGTGCAAATTTCTGTTGGGCTTCTTGTCGTCATCCGATAGCGTCCGCCGCACGCAGCAAGTGGCGCCGCTCGTGCTGCTCTTCACGCATTTGACGCCCAAGACGAGCAAAGTGAGCAGAGAGAGCACGGACACCGAGGCCAGAGTCACGATCAAATAAAGCGTGATCCTGCCGCCTTTCTTGCTGGGCTCGGACGCCTTGTGTCTCAGCTCCAACACGGGCTCGCTCAACAGCGTGCCGGTGGCCGACTGGACCGGCTCCCCGTCGTCTTTGACTTCAACGATCAGCCTCTGAGAGGAGTCGTCGTGCTCGTACACGGTGCGTTTGGTCCTCACCTCCCCCGTGTACAACTTGATCGTGAACAGAGAGGCGTCAGTGGCCTCCGCCCCTTTGTACGAGATCCAGGCGTTGTGGCCCGAGTCGGCGTCCACGGCCGTCACCTTGGTGAGCAGGTGGCCCGCCTTGGCCGAGCGGGGCACCCTCAGGTGGGAGGCGGCGTGAGGGGAGGGGTATATGACAGCGGGGGCGTTGTCGTTCTGGTCCAGGATGAAAACGTGGACGGTGGCGTTGCTACTGAGAGACGGGGAGCCCTGGTCCTTCGCCTCAACCTGAACCCGAAACACTTTGACTTTCTCGTAGTCAAACGAGTGCATGCTGAAGATGCTGCCGTTCTCCGAGTTCACGTAAACGTAAGACGACACGGACACGTCGTGCACTTTCGAGTCCACGATAGAGTAAGAGACTTTGGCATTTTCACCAGCATCCGGGTCATTTGCTGACACCGAGTACAGTATCGAGCCTGCTACTCCGTTCTCTTTTAAATAAACATTGTACGAGCTCTGAGAGAAAACAGGAGGGTTGTCATTAACGTCAGTGATGCTGACAGGTATCATTTTTTTACTACTGAGAGGAGGAGAGCCTGCATCAGTGGCTGTTATCTCAATGTTGTACTCAGACACACTCTCGCGGTCTAAAGTACCACAGGTGACCAGTGCAAAATTATTAGAAAATGATGGTTTAAGAGTAAAAGGGGAGCCTTTTGGAAGATATAAAGTTACTTCACCATTTTTGCCAGAGTCAGGGTCACGTACACTCAGCAAAGCTACAACTGTTCCAATTGAAGAGTCCTCCGGTACCGAACTAGGTTTGGAAGTTAATACAATTTCTGGTGCATTATCATTTAAATCTAACACATCAATTTGCACACTGCACCGACCTTCCATTGTCGGGAAGCCTTTATCTTTTGCAGTAATGTCAATTCGATAAGACGACTGTTGTTCATAATCCAAATTATTTTTTAATAATACATCTCCACTCATGGGGTCGATATGAAACAATGCCACCACTGATGGTGGCGTGTGTATGCCGAGAGAGTACTCTATTTCACTGTTTGGACCATCGTCTATGTCTGTAGCCTTTGTAGTTATTACAAAAGAGCCATTTGGGCTGTTTTCCTGAACAAATATTTTATATAATTTACTATCGAACGAAGGAACATTATCATTAACGTCAAGAACTTTTATTCTAATTTTTGAAATTCCTGATTTAACAGGATTGCCACCATCCAAAGCTGTCAGAATTAAATTATGAACAGCTTTTTTCTCACGATCTAATGATTTATTTAACACTAACTCGGGCGTTTTTCTTCCATTGTCAATCTCTCTAACTTTTAGTGTGAAACATTCGTCTTTGCTGAGCGTGTATGTCTTGACTGTGTTACTTCCAACATCCGGATCCTCTGCACTCTGCAGAGGAAAATTGACACCTACAACGGTGGATTCGGCTATTTCTATCACATGTTCACTTTTGAGAAAAATCGGAGCATTGTCATTGACGTCTTTTATTTCTACTTCAATTCGATGCAACTGCAACGGATTTTCTACGACAACCTGCAGGGGGAGCACGCAGCTTGCGCTTTGTCCGCACAAAGCCTCTCTGTCTATCCTTGCTCGAGCTCCTCGGGGATGCTGTAACGAGTCTGCGCATCCACTGTAGTCCACAAGAGAAAATGCCACAAAAGAGCTCGCCATCGCCAGTCTCGGTTTCCTATTGTCTTTGTCATCCTTCCTCCGCTACGACGCAAAAATCCTCATCAACATCCTCTTCACGGCATTTGCTCCATCCATACATAGGGGGGATAGTTCGAGAAAAACACCTCAAGCCATCTAGGCACAACTACCGAATAGCAATTCGTTTCAATGTTCAAAGATTCGAGCTGATTCCTTTCTGTCTGTGCCTCCGCTCGGTGCAATCGACGTGTGAGATGAAGCTGCGCGCAGGGGGCAGGGACGAGATTGCTTTGTACAGTCTTCAATTCTATTGGTTCACGGCTCGCAGTTCCACAAACCAATCAGAGGGAAGCTGATCCTCATTCACTGTTAAAGTCACAGCCTCCCGACGCCCCCCCCCCCACCCCTTCAAGCATTCGTATTAGTATTATTTTTTTTTGGGGGGGGTGGATTGGGGTGGGACAATTGTGACAATATCAGCATAAATGTATTTTAGTCACTATGACTATGTATGAAACATAAATAATTATGAATATTTGAAAGATGTGTTTACATGTACAATATTAGATAGAATGAAATTCAACAACAACAAATAAAAACGAAACACTTGCTTTTATTCTAAAACGTGCTGTTGCTGCATTTAAAAAATCCTGTCCACCCTTTTAGGTGCAAAATATTTCCCGAGAGGATTACTGCATCAAACTACCAACATTTGCTGCCTTCAAACCAGATCACATTAAAACGACGGTGCAACAACGAGCACTGCACACAACAGAGATGGGGCCGTCAGATATGATGCTTCAAGAAGAGCTCAGTCGAAACAGAAAAACGGTACTTAAGATTCGTCCGAAGCTACTATTCATGCAGGTTAACCCTCATATCAGTTGAATTGTTAAGACCCAATCATTTGGTGCTACTATTAAAGGGCGAATGTATTGCTGTTTACTCCAATACAACAAGAAGGAATTACCTAAAAAGTACACTGAGCGTTACTGAATGTAGAAGAGATTTTCATGTTAAGAATGTAGCCGACTATTGCTGGGGGGATCTAATGAGAAAAAGAGTTAAATTACAAGAAATGAACGAATCTAAATTTAAATTAAAGGAGATACGGTCATGTAAAACAAATCGAACAAAACTATGTTGTTGCTGCCACTATGACGTCAGGAGTGGGACTAACTATGCAAAAATAACAATCATGATGCATACATGAGCAGAGAGGAACTAATAACCATTGTTCAAACATGTAGGCTAGGGCCCACAGGTGCCCATACTTTTAGGACTGAAGATCTACTTTTTGATCAACCACCCTCCGCGATCTAACTGTTACCGCGCACACGCGCACATGTACGCACGTCCACCCGCACGCCATGATTAGCAACAGCCATAACGGCCGCTAAGATGTCCGAAATATAAACATAAAATAGGGACAAGAGTGCATGAGTTTGTTCAGAGGAAATCACTGCCTACCTGAGTGGGAGACCTGATGCGGAGGCATGCGACGCACTTTTGCAGCCTGTTCACTATCGTGGCTAACGCGTACCGTTTTAAAACGCTTCTCTCGGCCCTCCAGATTGCCATTCTTTGCAAATGCCATCAGTAAATTGTACACGAAACGAACTTTGACGAATAAAAATAATTATTATTAGTATAGCTTTTATAATAATAATAATTCGTATTATTATTATTATATTAATAATGATTATTTTTATAAAAGCTATTTCGCAACAGCTCTGACCGCAAGCTGCAATTGCAAACTTCTGAGCCCGAACAACTTCCTGTGACGCACGTCACACGCCACCGTAAGTTAAAGGTGACCTGGTGAATTTGATTTTATTTTTTTAAAGAAATTTGTGAAAGTGAGACTGATATAATTATTAGGGTGTAGTGTGCATTAACACAAAAAAAAAATATATATATATTACTAACATGCACAGAGACACACAAAGTTTGCTTGTTTTATTCAACGCCCCTTGCGAGCTATCTGTCGATCACGATCGACGTAATGGAAACCCCAAGCCGCGAGTGGATGTGCATCAATGTGAATTTTCAACCTTCATTCACCAAATTAATTGTACACGAAACGAACTTTGACTGATAATAATAATTATTATTAGGATAGCTTTTATAATAATAATAATTATTATTACAATAATATAATGACAATAATAATAATTATTATAAAAGCTATTTCGCAACAGCTCTGCTCGCAAGCTGCAATTGCAAACTTCTGAGCCCGAACAACTTCCTGTGACGCACGTCACACGCCACCGTAAATTAAAGGTGACCTGCTTAATTTGATTTTGGTTTTTTTTAAGAAATTTGTGAAAGTGAGACTGATAGAATTATTAGGGTGTAGTGTGCATTAACACAAAAAAAAAATATATATACATTACTAACATGCAGAGGGACACATAAATGTTTGTTTGTTTGTTTGTTTGTTTGTTTTACTCAATGCTCCTTGCGAGCTACCTGTCGATCACGATCGACGTAATGGGCACACCAAGCCGCGAGTGGATGTGCATTAATGTGAATTTTCAACCTTCATTCACCAAATTAATTTAAACCGCCGTTTGGGTAACAATTATTGCTCATGCACAAAACTGAGAGGCAAGAAGGTAAGATCACAACAATATGAGGCAGTTGGCAAAACTGTGTGCAGTAATAATCGAGTTAAAAAAGAATAAATGAAAAAAAAATACAACTGTGGGAAACTTTGAAGATTGTTTTGCATTCAAATACTGCTGAATTGTTACTAAATGCAACTGTAAACTTACTTCACTCAAGCTATGACAAGTGACAGCAGCAATAAGTGAACACAAATTGTAAATACGGTCAGTCTCGTATCGCTGAGAATGGATCACTACTAGTTGAACAAAAATAAGGGAAACGTTGAAATGGCAATGAGGTGGAATGCTCTGAGTTCCCCTTGAGTGCAAACTAAAGTAGCACTCACCTGCTGGCTCTCAAAGGTCCAGGTGCTGTCAGGCAAAGAAGCATCCAGGACGCTGATGACCTCCTTAAAGTCAGTGGTGCTACTGGGCTTGACCAACGTGAAATCACTGTACTCCGACATGGGAGACATGCACGACCGGAAGGAGTGACTCTGAGACATGACGTCTCCTCCCAGAACCTCCACGTACTTGATGGGTCCATCGGTGTTGAGCTGAATGTGCAAATTTCTGTTGGGCTTCTTGTCGTCATCCGATAGCGTCCGCCGCACGCAGCAAGTGGCGCCGCTCGTGCTGCTCTTCATGCATTTGACGCCCAAGACGAGCAAAGTGAGCAGAGACAGCACGGACACCGAGGCCAGAGCCACGATCAAATAAAGCGTGATCCTGCCGCCTTTCTTGCCGGGCTCGGACGCCTTGTGTCTCAGCTCCAACACGGGCTCGCTCACGCCGTCCTCCAGCAGGATGGACAGCGTGACGGTGGCCGACTGGACCGGCTCCCCGTCGTCTTTGACTTCAACGATCAGCTTCTGAGAGGAGTCGTCGTGCTCGTACACGGCGCGTTTGGTCCTCACCTCCCCCGTGTACAAATTGATCGTGAACAGAGAGGCGTCCGTGGCCTCCGCCACTTTGTACGAGATCCAGGCGTTGTGGCCCGAGTCGGCGTCCACGGCCGTCACCTTGGTGAGCAGGTGGCCCGCCTTGGCCGAGCGGGGCACCCTCAGGTGGGAGGCGGCGTGGGGGGAGGGGTATATGACAGCGGGGGCGTTGTCGTTCTGGTCCAGGATGAAAACGTGGACGGTGGCGTTGCTGCTGAGAGACGGGGAGCCCTGGTCCTTCGCCTCAACCTGAACCCGAAACACTTTGACTTTCTCGTAGTCAAACGAGTGCATGCTGAAGATGCTGCCGTTCTCCGAGTTCACGTAAACGTAAGACGACACGGACACGTCGTGCACTTTCGAGTCCACAATGGAGTAAGAGACTTTGGCATTTTCACCAGTATCCAGGTCACTTGCTGACACGGAGTACAGTATCGAGCCCGCGACCCCGTTCTCTTTTAAATAAACATTATAAGCGCTCTGAGAGAAGACAGGAGGGTTGTCATTCACGTCAGTGATGCTGACAGAGATCATTTTCTTACTAGAGAGAGGAGGAAAGCCTGCATCAGTGGCTGTAATCTCAATATTGTACTCAGACGTATTCTCTCGATCTAAAGCACCACTGGTGACCAGAGCGTAATTATTTGAAAAAGACGGTTTAAGTGAAAAAGGCAAGCCATTAGGTAGCTGCAGTGTAATTTTGCTGTTGTTACCCGAGTCTATGTCTTTGACCTTAATCAAAGCCACCACTGTGCCGTGTGACGCATCTTCTCGTACAGGACTGGGTTTTGAAGTGAGAACTATTTCAGGAGCATTATCATTTACGTCTTCTATATCTAATTGTAACTGACAGTGACCTTCCATTTCAGGTACACCTTTGTCTTTCGCAGTTATATCAATCAGATAAGATGTGAATGCCTCATAATCTAATGCTCCTTTTAAAACAATTTGTCCAGTTTGTTCATTAATTTCAAACGTTGATAAAACAGTTTCTGGAGTACGAGAACCAAAGGAATATTTAATTTCACTGTTCACACCTTCATCTGCATCTGCAGCTTTTACTCTCACTACAAACGTTCCTTTGGTGCTGTTTTCCTTTAAAGAGACAACATACTCTTTTTCATTAAATATTGGAACATTGTCGTTATTATCAAGCACATTAATTAGAATTTTACATGTACCAGATTTAATAGGGTTCCCCCCATCTAATCCCGTTAAAAGCAATTGATGAGTGGACATTTTTTCTCTGTCCAAAGATTTCTCTAACATCAGCTCAGGAACCGTTTTACCATTTTTTGCCTCCTTGAATTTCAAAGAAAAATATTCGTTTTTCATTAAAGTGTATGTTTTAAGAGAATTGCTTCCAACATCGGGGTCCTCGGCACTCTCCAATGGAAAACGGGTACCCACTGCAACGGATTCTGGTATTTTAATTTTAATTTCCTGCGTTTGGAAACGAGGAACATTGTCGTTAATGTCTCTGATTTCTACTTCAATTCGATGCAATTGCAGGGGATTTTCCACCACAACCTGCAGAGGGAGCACACAGTTGGCGCTTTGTCCACACAAAGCCTCTCTGTCTATTCTGTCGCTGACCAGCAGCTCGCCCTTCCCTGCATCCACGCTGAAATACTGCTTACCAGCCTCGGAGGCGACACGCAGCTTGCGCTCAAATATCTCAGACAGCCCCAAAGACAGATCTTTGGCCAGATTCCCCACCACGGAACCTTGCTTGAGCTCCTCTGGGATGCTGTAACGAGTCTGCGCATCCACTGTAGTCCACATGAGAAAATGCCACAAAAGAGCTCGCCATCGCCAGTCTCGGTTTCCTATTGTCTTTGTCATCCTTGCTCCCTATGATGCAAAAATCCTTCTCAACATCCTCTTCACGGCATTTGCTCCATCCACACAAATGGAGGATATTTCTATAAAAAAACACCTCAAGCCATCACGGCACAAATGCCGAAGAATAATTCGTTTCAATGTTAAAAAAAAAATCGAGCTGATTCCTTTCTGTCTGTGCCTCAGCTCAGTGCATTCGACGTGTGAGATGAAGCTGTGTGCAGGGGGCAGGGACCAGATTGCTTTGTACAGTCTTCAATTCTATTGGTTCACGGCTCGCACTTCCACCAACGAATCAGAGGGACGCTGATCCTCATTCACTCTTAAAGTCACAGCATTCTCCCCTCTTTCTGAAGTATTATCAGTGTTTTCCGGGCTAATTGTAAGGTTAGAGCTTTTTCAATTTTTATTTATTAATGTTGGTCATTTTATATGCACCCAAATCATTCTCAATATCAGAAATATTTAAAAGATGCATTGAAATGACACAAATACCAGACGGAATTTAGTTCAGCAGCATATAAATAAATCAGAAAAAGAAAAACATGTTTTTCTGCTCAAACGTTGCATTCGGCGTCACTTTCCACTCTTACATGGTGCTGAATATTTTCTGAGAGGAGTATCATATACAGCTACACCTAAATTTGCTAACTTCAAATCGTAAAACATGCAAACTAGGCTTTTAGTTCAAGAAAGGAAATCAACTTTTAATGTCAACACTAGTTTAATTACTCTCAGAGTGTCTATTATGATACTGCTGAATTATTTCTTTCGGGATTGGTGTGTTCATCTTGTACTTAAGTTTACTACAACAAAATGTAATCACTTTATGACCATCACTTAATGTTTATCAGTTGTGTGGCAGATGAGCATGCATTCCTGAGAAAATCAGTTGGAACACATGAACCAATGTCAACCAAAATGAAAGGAGAAAAAAAAAACACCTGAAGAAACTACACTGTGATGCGAGCAGCGTGACTAATCATCCTGCGTCTCCGACAAATCATAACAATTAAATTGTGTCGATACATGATGGGAAAGAAGGCAAATAAACCACTTTTCAACCGTAGTCAGGGGTGTCAAACAAAAACCTGAAGTTTCCACATTCCAAACTAAATTTATGCTGTGATTACAACAGGCATGCTACACAAAAGTGAGAAGCAAAACATTCGCCAAAGCAACTCGAGACCAGGTTGTGAAGCTGTTGGCAAAAACATTTCGCCCTTAATATCAAATTCAAAGAGAAATGAATAAAACAAAAAAAATGTATGGGAAGATTTGAAGTTCGTTGTAACACTGCAGAATTATTCCCATAACAGACGTGAAAACTGTGCAACAGCTTTCTTCATTCAAACCGTAAAATGTGGCTGCAGCAATATAAAGTCGGCATAAGTGATAAGAAGACCGACAAAAGCTATTGTTGTAGATGAGAATGGATCACTGCTGTACAAAAATAAGGGAAACGTTTAAATGGCAATGAGTGGAGTGCTCAGAGTTCCCCTTGAGTGCAAACCAAAGTCGCGCTCACCTGCTGGCTCTCAAAGGTCCAGGTGCTGTCAGGCAAAGAAGCATCCAGGACGCTGATGACCTCCTTAAAGTCAGCGGTGCTACTGGGCTTGACCAACGTGAAATCACTGTACTCCGACATGGGAGACATGCACGACCGGAAGGAGTGACTCTGAGACATGACGTCTCCTCCCAGAACCTCCACGTACTTGATGGGTCCATCGGTGTTGAGCTGAATGTGCAAATTTCTGTTGGGCTTCTTGTCGTCATCCGATAGCGTCCGCCGCACGCAGCAAGTGGCGCCGCTCGTGCTGCTCTTCACGCATTTGACGCCCAAGACGAGCAAAGTGAGCAGAGAGAGCACGGACACCGAGGCCAGAGTCACGATCAAATAAAGCGTGATCCTGCCGCCTTTCTTGCTGGGCTCGGACGCCTTGTGTCTCAGCTCCAACACGGGCTCGCTCACGCCGTCCTCCAGCAGGATGGACAGCGGCCACTTTGTACGAGATCCAGGCGTTGTGGCCCGAGTCGGCGTCCACGGCCGTCACCTTGGTGAGCAGGTGGCCCGCCTTGGCCGAGCGGGGCACCCTCAGGTGGGAGGCGGCGTGGGGGGAGGGGTATATGACAGCGGGGGCGTTGTCGTTCTGGTCCAGGATGAAAACGTGGACGGTGGCGTTGCTGCTGAGAGACGGGGAGCCCTGGTCCTTCGCCTCAACCTGAACCCGAAAAACTTTGACTTTCTCGTAGTCAAACGAGTGCATGCTGTAAATGCTGCCGTTCTCCGAGTTCACGTAAACGTAAGACGACACGGACACGTCGTCCACTTTCGAGTCTACGATGGAGTAGGACACTTTGGCGTTTTCACCAGCATCCGGGTCACTTGCTGACACCGAACATAAAATCTGGCCCGGAGCGCTGTTTTCCTTGACATAAATGGTGTAACGAGGCTGCGAGAAAACCGGTGGGTTGTCATTTACATCTAAAAGTTTAACGACAATTGTTTTTGCACTCGACAGTGGCGGTTTTCCATAATCAGTGGCACTAATCTCAACACTATACTGGTCATTTATTTCACGATCAAGCGGCCCGTTTGTCACTAATGAGTAGTGATTAGAAACAGACGAATTTAATTTAAAATGAGATTCGGATGGCAGCCGCAATGTAACCTTGCCATTTTCCTTTGAATCGGGGTCTCTTGTACTTATAAGAGCAATGACTGTCCCCCTAGCCGCATCCTCCGGCACCGGGCTCGTTAGGGACGTCACAATTATTTCAGGAGCATTATCATTCACGTCAATGATTTTTATTTCGACGCCACTGTGCCCCTCCATTTTGGGATTGCCTTTGTCTTTCGCTGTAATGTCAAACCTGTGTAAAGAACTCATTTCATGGTCTAAATCTCCTTTGACTGTAATATCTCCAGTTGCAGATTCAATGTTAAATAATAATAAAATCTCTTCTGACGTTTGCTCTGCAAAACTATATTCAACTTGACCATTTAGTCCTTCATCTGCATCTGTCGCTTTCACTTGTAATATCTGCGCGCCCGGACTCGCCTTCTCGCTGATATTAGCCTCATAAAGTTGCCTCTCGAACTGGGGCGCATTGTCGTTATTGTCAAGGACTGTTATTGTAATTTGGGACGTCCCTGACCGGGCCGGGTCGCCACCATCAACAGCCGTGAGGATGAGATGATGGACAGGCAGCGTTTCTCGATCGAGAGGCTTTTCAAGCACCAGCTCGGGGATTTTTCGTCCATCCTTGTGGGTTTTCACAGCTAATTTAAAATTGTCATTTTTGCTGATAACATAGGAGCGGACAGAGTTAGGGCCCACATCGGGATCTTGTGCACTTTCTAAAGGAAACCGTGCGCCAGGATTGAATTGTTCAGCTATTTTTAATATTTTTTCCTTCGTAAGGAAACTAGGAGAGTTATCATTTGTGTCCAATATTTCAATCTCAACCCTATGCAGTTGCAAGGGGTTGTCTATTACCAGCTCTATGGGGAGCAGACATGCCGCTCTTTGTCCGCACAGCTCCTCTCTGTCTATTCGATCAGTCACCAGCAGGTCTCCCTTCCCGAGGTCCACACTGAAATACTGCTTACCAGTCTCCGACGTTATCCGCAGTTTACGCCGATGGAGCTCTGAAACGACCAAACCCAAATCCTTTGCAAGATTTCCCACCACCGAGCCCCGTTTTAATTCCTCCGGGATGCTGAAGCGGGACTGTCCGTCTATTGTACTCCACAAAAGGGAGAAATGATGCCACCACCAAAGCAACTGCCACGCGGGCAATTTGTGCCACATTATTCCACTAAAATGCAATACATCCAGTGAAAGCCTCTACTGATGATGCAAAAACATAGTCTGTAATCCGGCGAAAAAACGTCCTGCCATATGTGAGTGACAGAAGAGATTGTCATGCTTTGTCTGCATAAAGCCCTCCCCCTGCTCGACGGTGTGAAGGCAAGTGCGAGGAAGCTGCGACGCGACGAGATCTCTTTGTACACGTCTTACTGTCATTGGTGCACACCGACAACACGTTCGAGCCAATCAGGAAGGCTTCTGTGATACAATTACGTCAGACGTTACACACCCTAATGCCACTCAAATACGATAACTTGCAGTTAAATGTGTAATTAAAGGCAATGAATATTTGTAAAAAAAAAGATATATATATA